GGAGCCCGATGTGGGACTCGATCCCGGGACTCCAGGATCATGACCTGAGCCGAAGGCAGTCGCTTAACCAACTGAGCCACCCAGGCGCCCACACCTGTGCATTTTAGAAAGAGCAAAGGGAACCCTTTTGGCATTTCTGCAATGAAACAGAAATGCCTGTCCAGCCTCCACTCGAATCAGTTCAGCGTAGGAAGGAGCCTTTCTGTTTTCTGACCTTGCGACATCACGCGTGGCAAGTATGAACTTTCCGGGGGCAGAATATGCAGAAAAACTGAATGTGTACAAGTTCTATGTGCTATCTTCAAATGGAATTCAAATGGAATTCAAATGGATTTCAAAGAAACCCATTCCAAGGATGGCTATAATGGTACAGTAAAGCAAGACAACCACAGAATTCAAATTGAGACAGGTACATGGAAGGCTATTAACAGGCAAAGTGGGGGAAGACAGAAAGAGACACACCAGGTCATGAATAACCCAACACAGAGGTCCAAGTCTGTTTCTAGCTGAGCACATTTTACTCACACAGTAAGGATCCACTATGATATTTTTTTTTTTTAAGATTTTATTTATTTGAGAGAGAGAGAGAGCATGAGAGGGGAGAGGGTTAGAGGGAGAAGCAGACGCCCTGCTGAGCTGGTTGCCCGATGCGGGACTCGATCCTGGGACTCCGGGATCATGACCTGAGCTGAAGGCAGTTGCTTAACCAACTGAACCACCCAGGCGCCCCACTATGCTATTTCTAAGCAACTTGGTTCTCTTAGGTCTTGACTCATTAGTAAAATTATTCTGCCCCCCCCCCCCCCCCGGCTTTTTTTTAACAGCGTGTGGTGGTACTTTGAGAACTGAACAGCCGACTTAGGCAAACATACTTCAATCTTATGGCCTGTACTTTCTTTTCTCCTCCCTGGGATATTATGGGAGGGGCCCTATTTTGCTAGAGATGGGCCGGCCCCGGTTCCTGCCACAGCACATGGTACAGACCTGGGTGTTCTGTCCGAGCACCAGTGTCCTCGGTGTTGCAGGCAGAAGCTTGGAGCTCAAGGTCCCTTCCAGCCTAACGTCGTGCAGCTCTTTGTCCCACTGTCCACTGAGGCAAAGAGTTGTACATTCCAAGGAAACTTCTTTCACACAGTGTGTGATGGGCAATTGCTGTAGCCCCTGCGAATGAAGAACAGCTGGGTTTCTAGGCACAGGAGGTTAAAAGAGAAATTGGTTTGGGTCTGATACATGAAGTACCTTGAAAGGGTCCCTTGGAAGGACCTTGGGAACCCCTCCTGCAAATATAATGGATAATCCAGCCCCAGAAGGCTCAGGGACCTGCCTGAGCCATGCAGCAGGTCAAAACCCTTTCTAGTTGGGTCCCCTTGCAATCCCCCATGCTGGGGCACCTTTGCTTTTGTTCTTGCATTTTCCCTCTTTTGTAAGAATAATGGAGACCTGCCAGTCTTTTATTACGCGTCTCATCAACAGGAGAGGGGAGGCAATCCTTTGCCATATCCATCAGACTAGCTCAGCAGGCAGTTTGTGTGTTGTGTGTGTGGAGTCCCTGTGGAGGCACCTGGGGACAGAGCCCGGAGAGGTGGCTCTGATTTTCTATTGCTCCGTAATGAGTGACCGCAACTCCATAGCTGGAAACACCCATTCATTAGCCCCTAGTTCTGTAGGTCAGAAGTCTGGGCATGGCATGACAGGGTTCTCTGCTCAATATCTCCCTAAAATCGAGGTCAGGCCATGTGCTCATCTGGAGCTCCGAGTCCTCCTCCAAGCTCATGTGGGAGTGCAGGACTCTGTTCTCTGTAGTGGAAGGACGGCGGTCTTCATTCCCTACTCCTGCGGGGGAATGGGGGAGGGTATGGCTCCACACGGCCCCTAACATCTTCAAAGCCAGCAAACAAGAATCTCCTTTCCATGGAACCCCTTATATGCTTCGAATCTCTCCCCCCAGGAAAAGCCCTGCCCCTTTTAAGGACTGACCTGATTAGGTTGGGAACACTCAGATAATCTCCCTATCTTGAGGGCAACTGATTTGGACCTCATTTACACCTGCAAAATCCCTTCCCAGCAGTACCTAGATTAGCATTTGAATAACTGGGAGGAGGTGTGTGTGTACATGGGGTTGCGGGGGGGGGGGGGGGAAGGAACCTTGGGGCCACCTTTGATTCCTGCCTCACGCAGAGGCTATGTGAGAGCTGTGAGAGCGGAGTGTAGAAGGCTTGGAGGCCTTTTCTTCGCCTGCAGGTCTTGAAGTCAGGATGTGCTGTGGTTAGAGGCTGCGTTTTCGGAGGCTGGAGCAGGGAGACACTAGAGGCTGCACGGAGGCTGAGGGCCTGGATTAGGGTGGGGTCTGTGGGAAGGACGAGGAAGTCACAAATGGGGGAGACATTCAGCAAATGATTTGCAGGGGGTGAGATTGTTGAGGGGGGTCGTCGGGGAGGTCACTTGTTTCAGGGCTGGTGACCCGGAGATGGGGGGCTAGTAGCTGCCCGAGGAAGCTATGGCCGGAGGCTTGCCACAGGTGCCTTTTTCCGTTTGAGCATCTCTTTTATCTGCGCCGTGGTCCACAAATTAGTTTCTGAAAGAAAAGAATGCCTCTCTGGTTGCCTCTAAGTGTATAGTAAATAAAGAGTTCTCTTCGGAAATGGTTTCCAAGGATTTTTTTGTCCCGGTTTCTTCCTGCAAACATCAAGTTGGAGTTTGGACCAGCTCTGTGAGTTCCTTCCTGTCTCTATTCGTCTGCAATTCTGTGACTCCATTACGAGAACCAAATGGAAGGGGGCGTTTTTGGTAATGATAACAATATCAGTGTTCCAGATATGATTGTCTTAGTCATAGGAACTTTACCACCTTTTATCATTTCATTGCCTTTTTTCCGTTGGAAATAAGCTTGCCATCAGCATGGTGTGGTGTCAGCTACTCTCGCTCAAGGGAGGGGTTGTGTCTCCACTGCTGTTTATTTAGCTCTGGTCAAATATTTTGCCCTCTGGAGAGAGAGAGAGAGAGAGAGTGTGTGTGTGTGTTTCTAGAATGGATGGATTCAGCGTGTACATTCGTAACTTCTGGTATGTGACTTTCTGGGTGAACAGAAAACAGCCCAAAGTGTCATCTTCAGTCACTAATTGGGAACTGATTGATAGAGGCTTAGAGTGAGCCATCTGGGCAGGTGTGTGGAGGTGCAACTCTCCCTGCAGCTTAGTCACCCCGGAGCATCCTCTCCTTCCAGGTAGACTGATGGTGTAAAAAGCTGCCCATCCATCCATGGTCTGCATCCTGCTCAAGCCATGGTGAGAAATAAAATGCCTTTTTCCGTGAAAATTCCCCTGCCCGTAGAAGTACTTTTCTTTCTGCTTTGAAGCAGAATAACTGAAGTGGAAAAATGGATGGGCGCCTGGGTGGCTCAGTCATTAAGCGTCTGCCTTTGGCTCAGGTCATGATCGCAGGGTCCTGGGGTCAAGTCCCGCATGGGCTCCCTGCTCAGCAGGGAGTCTGCTTCTCCCTCTCCCTCTGCCATTCCCCCCTGCTGGTGATCTCTCTCTCTCTCTCTCAAATAAAGAAATAAAATCTTTTTAAAAAAAAATGGAGGGGCGCCTGGGTGGCTGTCGTTAGGCGTCTGCCTTCGGCTCAGGTCATGATCCCGGGGTCCTGGGATCGAGCCCCGCATCGGGCTCCTTGCTCTGCAGGGAGCCTGCTTCTCCCTCTCCCACTCCCCCTGCTTGTGTTCCCTCTCTCGCTGTGTCTCTTTCTGTCAAATAAATAAATAAAATTAAAAAAATAATAATAATAAAATAAAAATAAAAAAGCTTTTTACTGAAGTACAACATGTGTATGGAGACAAGCATATGGCTCAGTGAGTTTTTTTCACAAACTGAATCCTCCCTTGTCATGAACACCCAGACTTTAAAAAACAGAACATTATGAGTCCCATAGAAGTCCCTTTGTGTTCCCTTCCAGTCAGTACCCCTCCAAGGGGACTGGTCGTAACTTGGAATAGCCTGGGTTAGCTTTGTTGGTCGTGTGGTCTGTATAAATGCAATCACAGAGCATAGACTTGCATGTCTGCCTTCTTTGGCTTGACATGGTGAGATTTATTCCAGTTGTCGAAGTGTGCTTATGAACAGAAGGCGACTTTCCATTAATTAAGCATCAGGCGATGGAACAAACTGATGAATTTTGAGGTTGTTTTTTTTTAGTATGGGACTATGGCTGTGGTGACGTAAGCACAGCCTTCCAGAGGGAAGATAAAGGGTATAACCCTTTTAGAAAATAAATGAGGAATATTTGCCAACAGACTTAAAAATTATCAGTATTCTTTAGCTCCTAGAGCTAAAGAGTTTTGTTTTTTTTTTAAGGTTTTATTTATTTGACAGAGACACAGCAAGAGAGGGAACACAAGCGGGGGCGGGGAGAGGGAGAGGGAGAAGCAGGCTTCCCGCTGAGCAGGGAGCCCGATGCGGGGCTCGATCCCAGGACCCGGGATCATGACCTGAGCCGAAGGCAGACGCTTAAAGACTGAGCCACCCAGGCGCCCCTAGCTCAGTATTTTCACTACTAGGAAGCTATCCTTAGAAAATAGTCAGCAAAACCTCTGTACACACACAAAATGGTTATTAACGATGTTATTTTTAAGAGCAGAAAAATGTGGAAATAAGCTAAGTGCCTGTAATTGGAAAATGGTGATATGTTTATGTTCATTAAAATAATGTTTAGAAAAAATCTTTAAAACTGTGTTAACATGTTTGAAATATAAGGTTCAAGTAACCAGGATGTAAATGTATATTCAGTGTGAGAGAAACTGTTACCGAAATAGGCATTTTCAAAAGGACTGGAAAGAATTATAACACAGCGTCAATAGTGTTGCTTTTCCTCTGGATGGTGGGATTATGGGAATTTTTTCCCTTATTCCTGGCCAGTTTTTTTTTTTTTTTTTACTTCTAGTTTGTTTATTATTAGAAATAAAAACCTTAAGGTTTGAAGAGTGTTAATGTTGGCATACTCCTTAAAAATCAACGATACGTTTTCTTGGCGATGTTTTGGGCTTTGCATCCTTCCCCCCAGGTGAACCTCAGCAATGAGCTCTGGGTGGTAAGCTCTGCATCTGGCTTTATAGCTTTTCTGGTTTTCTCTGTTAGGCCAGCTCAACTACCAGGCGGCCTCTCCTGATGAAGGCGCTCTAGTGAATGCCGCCAGGAACTTTGGCTTTGCCTTCCTCGCGAGGACCCAGAACACGATCACCATCAGTGAATTGGGAACTGAGAGGACCTACGATGTTCTTGCCATTTTGGACTTCAACAGTGACCGGAAGCGAATGTCTATCATTGGTAGGTCTCCTTCGAGAGTCTGTGTCGGAGTGTCACTCATTTAGATGCTGCCTTTTGCACATTTAATGATAATTTATTTAATGACCTCAGAATAAAACAGGCAATGAATGAACCACTTGGCTCCTGGGAGATTGCCACGGACTTATCAAAACGTGGTTTTTCCCTTCATTCTGCCTGGTGTCCGTCACACAAAGGGACAAAGGCAGTATATTTGAGTCTTGCACATGTTGGTATTCTTCCACGATATGAGCTGCCGGGTGCTGAATCGAGGGTGGGGACACAGTGGGTGGTCGAGCCGCACACACATTGTTATTTTGTGAGGCCCTCTGAGCACTTCTGCCCTGCCCTTGGCATCAGGGAAGAGAGAGGTGGCAAGCGAGGGGTTCAGAGAAAAGCAAGGCTGTGCTTATGAAGCAAAAGTGTACCTCCAGTCCAGGCACGTGACACCAGGCCACCAAGTGGAGAGGGTGACTGCTTCCCAGTATTTAAAGTTTTAAGTTCATAATGTAAAACAATTTCAGACTTACAGAAAGACTGCAAGAATGGTTTAAAAAACTCTTGTATTCTCGTCCACATCCACCAACTATTAGCACTGGTCCCATAGCCTTCATCATTTTCATCATATACAGGTTCTTGTTTCTTGAACCATTTGAGAGTCAATTGTAGAGCTAATAGCTGCTTTTCCCTCAATACTTAAGTAGGTACATCCTATGAATAAGAACATTCACTTATATATAAATAAAATGGCCAGAATCAGAAAGTTTTTTTTTGATTTTTGATTTATTTATTTGAGACAGAGAGAACGAGAGAGAGAGAGAGAGAGCGCACATGAGAGGGGGGAGGGTCAGAGGGAGAAGCAGACTCCCCGCCGATCAGGGAGCCCGATGTGGGACTTGATCCAGGGACTCCAGGATCATGACCTGAGCCGAAGGCAGTTGCTTAACCAACTGAGCCACGCAGGCGCCCCAGAATCAAAAAGTTTAACATGAAACAATATTTTTATCTAATCTACAGGATGTTTTCAGATTTTACCAGAAATTTTCTTTCTTCTCCCTTCTTTCTTTCCTTCCTTCCTTCCTTCCTGGTTCAAGATAAGGTCCAAGATTGCATAGGGCATTAGGGGATTGTTAACTCTAGTCTCCTTTAATTTAGAAGTTTCTCAATTTTTTTTCTTTCATACATTGACATTTTTGAAAAGTACAGGCCCATTATTTTGTCGAAAGTCTCTCGATTTGGATTTGTCTGATATTCCCTCATGGTTGAATTCAGGTTATGCATTGTTGGCAGGAGGAGTACACGGATTGTGCTCTGTCCTTCCCAGCATATCACATCTGCAGGCACATGATTATTAGTGATGTTAGCTTTGATCACTCAGAAAGTGTCTATGAGATTTCTCCACTATGAGATTGAATTTTTAACCAGTAAAAATATGTAGATTCAACTGTCTACTGAACACTGATGAGGCACATTTTACTGAGTGCTTTCTGTGTGCCTTGCACTGATCTAGGCTGATTATCATGCCTGGCATTTACCTTGAAGAATTCAAAATCCAGTTCGCGATGAGCACACATGCTATTATTACCGCACAGATCCAAAAATCTAAGAAAAATGGTCACAGGGAGTCATGTTATGGTCTGAGTATTAAAGGCAGTAAGTGTTACAGGTTTATAGGTAAGAGAGATTCCTACGGCACTGACAAAGAAGGCATCATGGAAGAACCTAGAACATGGTATGGCACACAGTTGGCAATCAGTCAATATTTGCTGCGAAAATAAGTAAGAATATGAAAAACTGAGCTGACTAAAGGAATCTTTTCATATTTATTTCACTATTACATTGTGTGTAGATAGTGGCTTACCGAGTTTGTTGAGAGTGAAGTTTTTCTAGGTACATTCATGATTTTAAACTAATGGTGAATTATTAGGAGACTAACACTTCAAATTAACTTTATAAATGTGGTTTTCTATTACAAAATCACATCTACCTTTATTATTTGCTTTTCCTTCTCTTGCTACTAGTGAGAACCCCAGAAGGCAATATCAGGCTTTATTGTAAAGGTGCTGACACTGTGATTTATGAACGGTTGCATCAGATGAATCCAACAAAACAAGAGACACAGGATGCCCTGGATGTAAGTCCCACTTTACCCTTTATGCCATGGATTGCAAACTTCCTTTCTGATAACTATCTTGTAAGCTCAAGTGAGAGTTCTGTGTTAACTGTTGGCCTCTCCCTTGTCTCGGTGTCGTTGTGTGGAAAGGGCATGAACATAGGAATACAGCAGACTGGTTCTGGTTCTGCCCCTGCTGCTGACTTCCTAGGACATGACCATGATGTCCCTTCCAACAGCCCAGGTTGGCAACATCTGCAGGACTGGCCCAGGGTAACCGTAGCGAGCTGTAGTCTTAATACATGTATGGCCTCCAAGAATTCCACCAACCTCCTGTGTACAATGAAGGAAGGAAAGCATTCATGCATGATGGGGCACGGCAAAGCAATGAGGTGGATAATTGAGTTCCGAGGCGTTTGTCAGTAAATCAGTTTGGTCTTCGTTACTTCAAATTTGTTATCTGAGGGGAGTGTGAACTTTGTCCAGTGATAATTGCAGTTACTCAGAACGCTTCTGGAAATCTCTCTCTTGGAATTGGCTACCAATCCACATATTGTTTTGGTTCTGTTAATGATGGCAATGAAGTATGGAGCACATCATCGGTCCTGGAATCCCAGTCCTGCCTTTTTGTTTGTGTTGTGTCCTTGGGGGAAACGGTTGATGTCTCACTGAAGCATTAATTGCCCACGTGAAAGGGGAAGAGAAAGAGGATGATTCCTACCAAGGAAGGTTGTTACAAGGGAGAGCATCTTGCACCATTCCCAGCATTTAGTAAGTGCTCAGTAGAGGGTAGTTTCTTCCCTTTACTTTAACGGTCTGGTTGAGTTTGGGGGCCAGCCAAAGGTCCTTCAGGAAGAAGCCTGTATATGTTGTTTACTTCTTGGGATCACATTTTTAGATAGGTTGTCAAAGCAGTTACAGTGGATAATTTCTCATGAGGATATGAACAATGGCAATTTAATCAAACAGATGCAGAACCTTCCAAAGAATCTTTGAAAGCGGACACTCAGTTGGGTGAACTAGTTCCTCCATCTTGGCTAAGACAAGATGCAGCTGTGAAGTAATAAAACCTTTTTACTGGCTCATACTTTAGCTATTTAAAATAGCTTAAATGTGTTCACCATGATTAAATTTTCCAGACACTCTTTTTCATTTAAATATTTTATCTCAGCTTTAACAGTGGCTCAGGTATTTCAGAATTGGCTTGAGGAAATAATGCTTGGTTGAGAGTTCATAGCTGATTGGGCTCGTAGCAGTTTGTGGGAACAAGTTATAAAATTGTCAGGTCTGTGTTTACAACATCATTACACCCCAAGGCAGCTCCCTTGTCTGTTATTTTCTGAGTCGTTATGAGAAAAAGTTTTCTTCACTGTAGTGACGTGATTTAGAAGAAATGTATACTTTTCTCTTTAACTAATTTGGGAACTACAAATAGGTCAGAGAATACTTAGAAAAACAAAGTATTTGTTTAATCTCATCTACAGAATGTATTTATTCAGAATTCATTATCTTTCATGACCTCTTTTTAAATTCTTATTGTATTACTTCAAAGAAAGATTTCAAACTCGATCTTGAATTACATAAAATTAACTATTGTTTGTTGGATGGATTATCTTTTAAATAGATTTTTGCAAGTGAGACTCTTAGAACTCTGTGCCTTTGCTACAAGGAAATTGAAGAAAAAGAATATGAAGAATGGAATAAAAAGTTTATGGCTGCCAGTTTAGTCTCCACCAACCGGGATGAAGCTCTGGATAAAGTGTATGAAGAGATTGAAAAAGACTTAATTGTGAGTTTTAACCTTCATGATTTGATATTCTAAACAGAATTGGAAGTTTTATTAAGTTTTGTTATATTTTTAATCTCATGCTTGAAAGATAATTCTAACTTTAGCATTTCAAATTGGGTACAATGGAACTAGGTCATTTGAGTTTCTTTTGTTCAGCAAGCAAAATAGAAATTGCCATTATGAGAAACCAAAAGACAGAAAATGTTTAGATTCTAATCTGATTCTATTTTTATATCACTCATTAAAATGCATTATGATTTTTACATGATAACAAACCACATATTTATTACATTTTGAGAATCACTGAAATGATTTTTATTTTGCAAAACCTTGAAACGAAAAATATACCGTTTATAAGTGAAATTTCTCAAAATTTAATACTTACTGCTTGTAGAGTTTAGATTAGAAGGATATGTTCAACAAATAGCTAGTATCGACCTTTAGTGAAGGGAAGTGGCTTGTGTCCATGTGTGAAGCAGTATGTATACAATGAAAGTATATTTTTAATGTCCTTAATTTTGTACTTACATTTTTATCTTGGTAAACCACTTTAAGAAAAAAGTTTTTGAATGTTTTGGTTTTTGGTGAGTGTGAGACACAGCAGCCTTCCCTGTCATTGCTGGCCATCGGCCCCAGTGGAGCACCAACTGGGGTGTATAATTAGCCCTTCTTCTGTTTACAGGTTGGCAAACTGCAATTACAGAACCTTTTGAGCTTACTTGCTAATTCCTTTTTTTTTTTTTTTTTTTAATGTACATTCCAGCTATTGGGAGCGACAGCAATTGAAGACAAGCTCCAGGATGGAGTCCCAGAAACCATTTCAAAACTCGCAAAGGCTGACATTAAGATCTGGGTGCTCACTGGAGACAAAAAGGGTAATTCAGTTTTCAGGGAAGCGCTATCTGTTAATTCATTAAATATTCATAGCTCCTATTTCCCTTGCCCAAGATGACTTTCTCAGGCTTTCCATCCTGCACAAATACTGTCCATTTCTTTGAGACAGAGATGCTTTCTTTAAGAAAACCTTCTCCATTATCCCACTTCTTGCAGACAGCATCCTTCCAGAAACCCCCTCAGTAGCAGAGTTTATGTCTCATCATTGAGCTTCTGGTCGTACCATGCTGACTGTGATCAGTCTTATCTCCCCAGCCAGATGTGGGCTCCTCTCGTGAAAGGACGATCCCTTTTGTCCCTTCTGTCCTCCCCAGCACTTTGCCATTTGTTGGGCGCAGAATGGAACAATACAGAATGCTGATCAACAACTTGTTTTCTGGCCCATTTTATTGCTTGAAAACTGTAATTAAAATTTTATACCCAAGGGATGATCTTAATTTTTAAATTTAGAGCTCATCAAATTGTTTGGCATTGCTACCTTACTCCACAAGCCTCCTGCGGAAAATCAGATAATTTCTCTTACCCTGACATGGTTAATGGGTTACACACTCTGATAAGCTAAGGGAAGTCCTGACGTTAAACAAATAACAATGGGTGGTAATGGAAAAAGGGGGGAAAAAAATCTCCAGTAGGGGCCCCAGGTGAGGGTTTATGGAAATAGTTATCTTTTTTTTTCCCCCCGTAACAAAATTATTAAACCACAGGAACCAACTGTGCTTAGTATTTCAGTGAACACTGATTTATTAAATAACCAGTTCATGTATTTGATAATATAGAACTTTTTATAATAGAAAACATCTCAAACCAGGCTTTGACTTATTTTATCACAGAAAATGGGCTCCCCCCCTTGTGTGATTTCTATACATTGCTACAGAAAAAAGAGCATATTGGCTTGAATCTGCCTATTTCATGACTTGAAAAAAAATGCTCATTACTAGCTAAAGTCAGTCATTCATCAGTAGGAACACTTAATTTTTTCTTCTGTTGTAGAAACTGCTGAAAATATAGGATTTGCCTGTGAACTTCTTACTGAAGACACCACTATCTGCTATGGGGAAGATATAAAGTAAGTAAAGGCAAAAGTAGAGGCAGTAGACATGGCAGATGCGGAGAAATGGGAGCTTAGACTGTCCCCTCAGCTTTCCTCACATTTAAATGAAGCAAGAGAACCCACGTAGTTCCAAGATATCATGGTTTGACCTTATTTTGAGCAGATTTTAGTGTTATGGGAGCTTGGGGCCTATTATTTACTCTTTCAGGGGCCATTTCTCTCCATTCCTTGGGGAGTTCTCAGTGCTTGCCTGCTGACAAAAAAAAAAAGAGGTCAAGACATCACTAGCCAATTAATCTGAATTCTCTCCGTGAGCTGCCTTTTCTAAGAATTATAATTTTGAAAGAAATATAGAAGGAAAGAACCCCACAATTTTGCTTGGAAGGAGACATTTGGGTGGGATGCACCTCTAGACTTATCTGGATGGGGCAGGAGATTTCAAAGCATGGCTTCTCCTGAAATACTCGAGAGCCCCGAGTCACAGCAGACCTGGAAATGTGTAAGGAAGAGCCTTGTCCTTTTAAAAAGCTGGGAGTGTGTTGCACAAGTTCCTGGGCTCTGCTATCTTGATAGTTTTATTTATTCCTCAAGTCTTTTCCTTACGACACCTCCCCCAGGCTGTCACAAGGCCAGAAGCTGTGAACATACACTTGCCTAGTCTGGTATCATGAGGGGGTTACGCTTGAGCTTAGCCAAAAGGCCGAGAAGTGGTAAGATGATGAGGGAGTTGATTGTCGTTGTTAGTCTTCTGATGATGGTGATATAACTTTTGCAGGTTGTTCCAGTATATTAGGCACTTGCCTAAATTAGACAAAATCAGTAGCTCTAACATCTAAATAGGTCAGTTCTGTTTGCATAAACCATGTCTCTCTGTGCTTTTAGCTTTTAAAAAATAGCAATCGACAAATACTAATATGTTTACTTGTTTCCTGGTTTCAAGTGATTTGGCGAATTGCCAGATGGTTTTATTTCTTATAGATGGAGGCCTTAGTAGAGTTCTGGTCTCTCTCTAAAGTGTTGAAAATTGGGCCCTGAGCTAAATTAGAAGGTAAAATTTATGCACATAGCAAATTTTATGATCATGCTCTTAGCCAGGTTTACCTTTCCGGAGGGCTGAATTCATCTGTCTTTGTAGATGGATGATTCCTATAGCATGGTTTGAATGGGTAACTTCGTATTTTGTCTCTTCCAGGGATTTGTCTTGATCACTCCTTAATTTCAACTTGAAAATGAGCAATTAATGTAGAAAAAGAATAATAGATACCTAATCCTCTAGTGCACTGGTTCTCAACTGGGGGTGATTTTGCCTTCCCGGGAACATTTGGCAATGTCTGGAGACATCTTTAGTTGTTGTAATAGGGCATGCGGGGTACTGCTGGCTTCTAGTAGGTAGAGGCCAGGGATGCTGCTAAACATCCTACAGTACAACGGACAGCCACCTACAACAAAGAAGTACCTGGCCCCAAGACATCCGTAGTGCTAAGGTGGAGAACAGTGGCTATGTGTGTCACAAGGAAAGCTCTGGACTGAGAATAAGGAGCCCTGAGTTTTCACTGCCATTTTCCTATCAGTTTGGTCCAGGTCAATCACCTCATCTCTCTTGGACTTGATTTCCTCCTTTGTAACATGAAGAGTTTGGATGAAATCTTTATGGACGCTTCCACTCCAAAATTCCATAACTCATTTTTCTATCACATGAATGCGTTATATGCGGTCTTCTCAATTATTTGTTTATATAAAGCACTGAGAAATTCTCAAAAGCAAACATAACTTTTTGTGGGAGTAAGCTTCTTTTTGCCAAATAGTAGCCACTGTTTGTAATACACCAAGGGTGCACTGCAGGTATTAAAATTCAGACAAAGATTGCCTTCCTGCTGTTGCTCATGAGCACATTTTCAACTGTATCTTCTTTTAGCAGTCTTTGGCAAGTAATAGTGCCCCATGGGGGAGGAATTAAGACTTAATGAGATTACATCATCTGATTTAAAAATGGGCAAAGGACCTGAATAGACTTTTCTCCAAAGAGGATATACCAATGGCCAACAAGCATATGAAATGATGCTCCACATCACTAAACATTAGGGAGATGCAAATTAAAGCCAGAATAAGGTATCACCTCATACCCTTTCAGGATGGCTCCTATCAAAACAACAACAACGACAACAAAACCTAAAAACAAAACAAAACAAATCAAAAAACAAAGTAACAAGTGTGGGCAAGCATGTGAAAATTGGAACCCTTGTGCACTGTTGGTAGGAAATAAAATGGTGCAGCTACTATGGAAAACAGTATGGTGGTTCCTCAAAAAAATTAAAAACAGAATTACCATATGATCTAGCAATCCCACTTGTGGATATATATCCCAAAAAATTGAAAGCCAGAACTCAGATTTTCACACCCATGTCCATAGCAGCACTATTCACAATAGCCAAGAAGTGGAAGCAACCCAAATGTCCACTGATGGAGGGATGAATGAATAAACAAAATGTAGTATAGTCATACAATGGAAATATTATTAAAGAGGAAGGAAATTCTGATATGCACTACAATAGGAATAAACCTTGAGGACAGTGAAATAGGTCAATAGCAAAAAAAAAACCCTAATACTCTGTGATTCCACTTACAGGAGTTATCTAGAGTGGTCAAATTCATAGAAACAAAAAATAAAGTAGTAGTGACCAGGGACCAGGGGAAGGGGGAAACGGGGAGTTATTTAATTGGCATAGAGTTTCAGTTTTGAGAGATGAAAATGTTCTGGAGATTGGTTACAAAGCAATGTGAATATACCTAATACTACTGAACTGTACACTTAGAAATAGTTAAGATGATAAATTTTGTGTTTTTTAACTACAATTAAAAAAGATTATATATCAAAAGTACCTCACAGTCAAGGGCCTGTTTATAGTCTTATACTCTTAAACGCTAAAATTTCTTTTCCCCCAGTGCTCTTCTTCACACAAGGATGGAAAACCAGAGGAATAGAGGTGGAGTCTATGCAAAATTTGTACCCCCGGTGCATGAAACTTTTTTTCCACCTGGTGAAAACCGTGCCTTAATAATCACTGGTTCTTGGTTGGTGCGTATCATTACTGTGTGCCTTTGGCTTAAACTAAAGCAGTTCATTGTGGAATGATTTTAGATGGTTTCCCATACTAACTGTCAACCTAAAAATCTTTTAGCCTACAAATGAATGGGTAATTTCCCAAGTTTGAGACTTAATGGGATCAATGAAAGGAATTATATCAGACTGGTAATATCCCTGGTTTAACAGTCAATGGACAATTTCAATTTTCTTCTTTGTACATTTTTATAGTAAATAGGTTTTATAATCAGAACACTGTCATCTGTGATATAACCCAAGAACCATCCCTCACCTGGCTAAGGTCTGGGGAATGGTACTCTTGGTATAAAAACTAAAATGGTTGTAATCCTCTGATTTCACAGAATGAAATTCTACTGGAGAAAAAGACTAAGAGAAGTAAGATTCTGAAGCTGAAGTTCCCAAAGACAGAAGAAGAACGACGCATACGGACACAGAGTAAGAGGCGTCTGGAAGCTAGGAAAGAGCAGCGACAGAAGAACTTTGTAGACCTGGCCTGTGAGTGCAGTGCAGTCATCTGCTGCCGGGTCACCCCCAAGCAGAAGGCAATGGTGGTGGACCTGGTGAAGAGGTACAAGAAAGCCATCACGCTGGCGATCGGAGATGGGGCCAATGATGTAAACATGATCAAAAGTGAGTCTTGCCCACAGCCAATGCCACCAGAATTGCCAGAGAGAAGAAATGGCAGGGATGTTTTGTGCGGTAGTCTTTCCAAATGTCATTGCTTAGGCTTTCATAAAGCTTTCTCATCTGAAAACAAGAATATTATCTTTGGTGTCACCTCGTTTTGTGATAATAATTATTAAGAAGAACCATTTTTCATGACCACACATGTCCTGTTATGCTGGGTACCTTAACTGCATAATGTATAACTAGACTTAATTCAGCCTATTTTGTAATTCATGTCTTTTTCTTTTCTTAGAGTCTCTTCCTTCTCCTCCTTGATCTATACTAAGAATATTCCAACTTTATCTTCCTCAGCAGGAGTCAGCTATATTACGTATGTCTTCTTGCTTCTTTATCATGTGTATGTCTGTGACCACTGCCAGTTTAATTCCTCTCCAGTGTGCTCTGCATGTGCTCACCCTACCACAGGACTGGCATTTCTTGCTCCAAATGGTATCAATTTCTTTCCCCTACAGCCAGTTCTAGTTCATTTTCCATTGTGTACCCTTAACATAAATAGCTGTGCCAAAAGGGCAAGTAACTCAAACATTATTTTTATAAAGCTACAATGCAGACTTCTAGATGTTGGAGAGAGGGAGGTTACCTTGCAGATGTACCATCTGACTATGTGACTTAGACTTGAAAATTTTTTTGTTCCTCTGAGCTTACCAATAATAATAAAAGGGACACAAAAATTCAACATAAGTAACCCTATGTGTCCTAAGAATTTTATTAAGTTCTGTTATATGGCAGATACTTATATATAATAGGGAGCTCCACTTGGGATGAAAATCAAAGACACTCAGGTCTCCTTGGAAGTTAGTAGCCAAGTACTGATAGTACCTTTTTGTACTTTAGAAAAACTGGCATCACTTTCATTTGCATAAAAAACAATATGCAGCAATTATATCTGTTTGTAAAGAAGTACAGTGAAATTGAAGTGTCCAAAAATCTGGCCATTTGTTAGCATGTTCCACGTTGAGTAGTGTAGCCCAGTGGAAGTGGAGGGAGTTGCAACCCGCCATGTTTTTGCTGCTAGTAAGGACCCAAGGGCTCTCATGGGCTGCCTGCCCTCTCTCCCTCTCTTGGGCCTGAAGGTGTCTGCTGGCTGGTGGGTGTCTTTCCTTGGCCTAACACCCTAAGAACGAACAAGCAGCCTGAGAGGGGAAACAGGCAGAAAAGGATGAGAACATGATGGGTTTGTTAAGCAACTATGAAGGAGCCTACCAGTGAGCCATCTGAAACCACATTTTTGAAGCTTCAGGAAAATCCAGGTGTCTATATTTAGATTATAGGGGGAAAAAGAAGTGTGGCCTTATAAAGTACATCTCTTCAGTTGCTTCAAATCCCCGGTGAGCTGTAGCAGTGTTCATTTCACATACTGTCCTTGGTGTGCTCGGCAAAAACGGGCTGGACATCAGGGCCTGTGGCAGGGGTGCTTCCTCCTTGGCTCCAAGAGAATCTCCACATTTCCCTTTGTTGCTTGTTCAGGAAAGAAGGCCACGGTTTGGTAGGAAAGAGCAGTTTGGCAACCATGACTAGTCATAAGAATTATTTATGTGTTTTGAAAGAAATCGTAAATATTGACTGAGGCATGCGATTTATTCCGTTTTTTAGAATTGCAAAGTGTTGCTGAAAACATAGGTTTGGCCAAATCACTATGCCGCTTTGAATTTGCCAGACCTAGTATTCTGCCACTGTGGGGGGATTTTGGGAGCTTCTTTTAGTTGGAAACCCTGCTGAGTTGGCAGGCAGTCTCTGGGTCTAAGTAATAATACGTTGTGTTCTCCAACACACGTTCTCTGATGTCAGAACATCTTTACTTCCATGCCTTTTAAGACCTAGATAAAAATCGTAATTCTAGAAGTTGAAACTGTGACTAAATGACTATTGGAAGGATGGGTAAAATTGTGACTTTCATTTTTATCCATTCTGGAACCTTCCCCAGCAAAAAAACTGTGCCTCTTAAGGTCATGGTGGGCCATGATTAAATGCTGAAAAGTTTAATATTATCTTAGTTAAAATACTTTTTGATTGCAAATATTAGAGAACTAAAGCAAGCTTAAGACAAAAAGACTTATTTTAAAAGATATAAAGATGGGGACGCCTGGGGGGCTCAATTGGTTAAGTGTCTGCCTTTAGCTCAGGTTGTGATCCCAGGATTCTGGGATCAAGTCCCATCTTGGGCTCCCTGCTCAGCGGGGAATCTGCTTCTCCCTCTGCCTCTCCCCTCCACTCCTGCTCGCTCTCCCAAAATTAAAAAAAAAAAAGTTTTGTGCCTCCCAAGAAGCCAGGCCTCAGGAAGATGCTAGAACCAGGACCTGGAGCTGCACCAGGAACCCAGTTTCTAGTTTCTCCCTCTTTCTAGATGATTTTACTTCTCTGCCCCTCAGAACCCCTCAGAAAAAAATATATCTGTCCCACAACTCAAGAATGTATAGGTTAAAATTCCAAACACACACATGCCCAAATCTTAATGCCCAAATCTTAATTCCAAAATGTGAAAGAGACACTGCCCCAGCTTGGGTTTTCAGTCAGTTAGTAAAAGATACAAACCCCATTGGGTACTTTAAGCAGGAAGTGATTAATACAGGGGACTAGGTGCTCATAAAAGCTCTGGATGGGCTGAAGAAAGCAGGTGCTAGCCTGAGTCTCTAACATCTTAGTCACTCACCAGAGGAGCTTCTAGCTTTGAGACTCCTGTGAAGGGCTTTTCAGTTGAGAAGCTTTTGTCTATCAACATCCAGGCAGCTGGAGAGAGGATATGAACTCTGCTGCAGAAATGCCAAAAAGGGAAGGAAGGGGTGCTGGGCTCCAGTTCACTTCTACTTCCACTTCAAGTGGCTTCTAACAATGGAACCCAATTCACCAACAGAACCTAGTGCAAGGGAGTCTGAGCAATGTAAGGTTTTTATGTGCTTTCCCACCTTTCCAGTAGAACAAGGGTGGAATGAAAGTTGGGAGGGCCCATTTGTAGTATGTGCTGCTGAAGACGTATCTGCCAATAGCAGCTGACTCAGCTGTGGCCAGGGAGGCAGGGACGCACAGTCTGCATGGACTCCTTGGGTTAACGCTGTGGGTGGGAAGGATGGCCTATGAGCTGGGCAGATAATTCAAATGGAATTCACCACCCACCTGAGATCCTTCCACAAATGCCTTTTGGAGGACCCAGCATGTGCTCTTTTGAGCAACTTGTATCTCTGACATTGAGTTCAGAAGCTGGGGTGGGGCTGTTGAGAGTTTTCACATGTATTGTTCTATGAATGTGTTTCTTTGTTTTGCTGTGGAAACATTTTTATCACTTCAATATTTCACCTTAAAATTAGCTTATGATTCACATGTCTTCTCCCTCCGTCCCACAGCTGCCCACATTGGTGTTGGAATAAGTGGACAAGAAGGCATGCAAGCTGTCATGTCAAGTGACTACTCCTTTGCCCAGTTCAGATACTTGCAGAGACTGTTGTTGGTGCATGGCCGGTGGTCTTACATAAGGATGTGCAAGTTCCTACGATACTTCTTTTATAAAAACTTTGCATTTACTTTGGTTCATTTCTGGTATTCCTTCTTCAATGGGTACTCTGCACAGGTAAGAGAATAATTATTACCACCTGATAAGTCTTATATAAATAAAACTCTACTTCTGAGAAAAACATTTCCCCTCCATACTTGCAGTTTTGATGCTCTATCTCTTAATAGTTGAGGCACAGATTGAGATTATAGATGACTTTTCTAAAAGGTTTCTGGTGCTTTAAAAATACTTTATTTTGCCTTTAAAAAGTTGGGAGTTGTTCCTGACCTACTGGCTTTTGTTATGTGTCTTTGCCTTCACCCTAGATTTTTTTTCCTAAGTCACCTTGCCATTAAGAATAGTGATAACAAATTATTCATTGTCGAACATATAAAATGATATTGTGACCGGGGTGCCTGGGTGGCTCAGATGGTTAAGCGTCTGCCTTCGGCTCAGGTCATGATCCCAGGGTCCTGGGATCGAGTCCCGCATCGGGCTCCTTGCTCAGTTGAGAGCCTGCTTCTCCCTCTGCTTCTCTCATGAATAAATAAATAAAATCTTAAAAAAAAATGATATTGTGACCAAGGCTAAAGGGATTATATAAATTTTGGATGATTGATCTTAACCTGTTGATTTTTGTTTTCGTTTGTGCTGAAATGGCAGTGGGGGACATATAGAGTATGTTGAAATGGTGATACAGCAGAAAAATATCATTAGTGAAAATGAACCTAAGTCAGTGCTTGTGGTTGTCCAAACTTCTGATGCCACAGCCACAGACAAATGGTATCAGAAGAACCTCAGAAACCGAGGGCCCGGAGCAGCCTTGAGCACAGTGAGGGCCTTCCTTCTGCTCCCGTGCAGGCCTGTGTAGAGCTGCTGGTGATGAGTGAGCCCGTCTCCTCTCGGCCATCCTGCGGACTGGTGTGTGCACAACCCTGCTTACCCCTTTCAGAAGCACATTTTTCATATTCAAATTCTGCCTCACAGATGTTTAAATGGAAATGTGAGACTTGCAAAGTAAAAGAACATTTGAATGATACCTTATCTGCTTTTTGAACCACTTTCGGTTTTATGTATTCTAATTCATTAATAAAGGGATATAAAAAGGATCAGCACCAGTGTATTTTCCAGCATCATTCAAACAGAATGGACTCCTTTTCCAAAAAAGGTTTTGGCGTATATTCTCCCATTTTTGTTAGAAGGAAGGTTTGTTTCTGTGGAATGGTCTTCGATTCTGCCCATTCCACTGAACCCAGCTCACACCTTGGGCAGATGCAGAGGAGGGGTGTTTACTCTGGCAGAAGCTGCACATAGCCTGGGGCCTCCTCCACTCCGAGAGAGATGAATGCATGTTGACTAGGCGGGCAGTAGGTCTTGGTTTGTGACACAGCGGCTCTGTAATGTCCTCACAGACGGCGTACGAAGACTGGTTCATCACGCTCTACAACGTGCTGTACTCCAGCCTGCCCGTGCTCCTCATGGGGCTGCTTGACCAGGTAGGAGCCTCGGGCTGATGGGGGCACTCGGGACAGACTGGGCACCTGTTTGACAAGTTAAAAGCAAATATTTCAGTGCCTTCTTTTGGTTTTAATTTCTTCCTGAGGAAACCCTATTACTGTCCTGTTGTTAGGCGACCAGAGTAACTGCTGCACTTCCCGTATTATAGCGAGAAAAGAGGCTTTCTGTGCGTGGGACGAATTCATGGACAAAAGAGTTTATTATCTTCCTTCTGGACACTAAGAGTTTCTTAAGACACCTGACAGTATAGTATGTCTCTATAATAATAACTTTAAAATTATTTTAATATTTCTCTAAACGTATGTGCTGAATTCCCAGATTAGTCCACATTCTATCTGGGAGCAATTCTTAGAGAAAGTGCTTTAATGAATAAAAAGAATAATTTGGAATTAACCCATCAACTCATATGTGAAAATACTTTCCAAAAAAAATTAGAATATATTCTCCTAGGAGGTAAAAATAGTCTCCCTACATTTTTTTTTTTGACATTACTATTTGCTTTCCTTCTATGAGCAGCAAAGTAATAGATCTCTACCTAGCCTCTCTCTTAATTAAATAGCAAATAACGGTGGACTAAAGTAAAGGGATTGGTCTCTGCACACCGAAACCATTCAGGACTTATCTTGTTGAGTTTTTGCCTTCCTAATACTAAGCTGAAACTCTCTGTGAGAAATAAATTGGAATGGATCTCGGAGTTCTTTGATCCTGGATGGTACACAACTAATTGTGGTTTTTCTCCTTAAGGATGTGAGTGACAAACTGAGCCTCCGCTTCCCTGGGTTGTACGTAGTAGGACAAAGAGACTTACTATTCAACTATAAGAAGTTCTTTGTAAGCCTGGTGCATGGAATTTTAACATCGATGATCCTCTTCTTCATACCTCTGGGAGCTTATCTGCAAACTGTGGGACAGGATGGAGAGGCGCCTTCGGACTACCAATCTTTTGCTGTGACCATTGCTTCTGCTCTTATAATAACCGTCAATTTCCAGGTACATGGCTTCTGTCAACTGTTTTCAGTATCTGTCAGTTACCTGTGTTTCTGTATATAGACCAGTGTGCGCATCCACCTGGCCCCCACTCTCCCTCCCACTGAAGCCTCGGCCGCTTTACAAAATATGAATGCTCTCTTCACCCCTTACACCAAGCACATTTCCTACTTCTTGCCTGAGCCAAGGATAGTTTCTGATTGTTCAGTATTCAAGCCAAATCATGCCTAAATTGTTGCATTCTATTTTCAGAATCTAGATCCTTTATTTCTTGGTAACTCCCCAAAATGAATGCTCTGTTTTTCTCTGGTTTTACAGATTGGCTTGGATACTTCTTACTGGACTTTTGTGAATGCTTTTTCAATTTTTGGAAGCATTGCACTTTATTTTGGCATAATGTTTGACTTTCATAGTGCTGGAATACATGTTCTCTTTCCATCTGCATTTCAATTTACAGGTTGGTATCTTCTAAATTCCAGAAATAAAGGTATAGAAAAATGTTACTAGTTTAGATTCTGATATAACTTCTAAGTAAAAACACAAAGTAAGTTATTGCTAGTGAAAATTAATGTCCTGACTGGCACCTGAATGACGGCTGGGCTGGAAGTGTGGTAATGTGACAGGAAGAAAGCAAAATTTAAAAATTTGATATAATTGTGCATCTGTTCAGTTAGACGGGACCCCCTCCCCCCCCAAAATCTAATATTGTTGGGTTGCTGGGAAATTGAGTATGGACGTATTGCTGGTAGCATGATAATATAATGTTTCCAAAGCACTATCTGGAAATAATATAAAACTTCTCACACATTTGGCCCCGGGATTTCCACTTGGAGAAAATACCTAAAGATAAAACATACCAGTTTTTGGAAAAGTCAATTCGTACAAAGATGATACCACCACAATTCTGATTGTGTTTTATTTTTTTTCTGATTGTGTTTTAAAAATGGAAATAATTCAAAGACCTGATAAGAATACTAGCTTATCAAGGTATGAGTCCCATATGATGAAATTTTAGAACTCAAAGGTGGAAAACTTGCCACATTGTTAGAAAAATGTATGCAGAGCAGTAAGTAAACTTAAACAGAAATAGTTTAGAAATAGTTTACAGCTGTATAAAGTAGGACAAATGCTAGAATGAATTTGAACTATTTCATACATATTATAAACTTTAAAATATCATGAATTGGAATTTACAATTTCTTAGTTTATTAAATAGAGTAGCTTAGATTCACAATGGGGGGGGGGAAAGTCCCCATAAACTAGTTTCCGTGTAAAAGATTAGGGTTTTTTTTTTGTTGTTTTTTTATGGCCAGTTGTAAAAAGACAGTTGCTATGGTAACTCTTGGGATTGAGTTCATTTTTTTGATGATTGTTTTTACTGACTCTGTTTTTAAGAAAAAACTTAGTACCCAGTTACTTAGAATATTCCCACAGGGAGTGTTTTTATTTAGCAGTGTAAAAACACATTTAAAAAATAAAGGCCACTACTTTTATAAACTTATAGTGTAAGTACAGAGAATACTGTGATAGATTTGGCTTTAGGGGATGTTAATTATAAATATTTTAAAATTGGGTAGTTATTATATATGATGGTCTGGCTGTATGAATTACTACGTTCTCTGACATAAACTAACTGCCAAATTGCAGTGGAAAAAGTGAGGCTCTAGTCAGATGGATATGGGGTTTAATTCAGGTGTTGCCATGGCTAGTTCTGTTACCCTGGGAAATCTTTTTACTTCTCCACAACTCGATTTCCATGTGTGGCAAGGAGGATACTCTTCATCCCTCAGAGGTAATTAAATGGCGTGACCTGTATAAAACACCTAGCATAAGGTCTGTCATACTAATGGTGGTGTAAGTTGCTACTGTTATTTGGAGTTTCAAACTAAAACTATAAGTTGGAAAGTAAATTCCTGGAAAAATGGAGAAGTATAGCTTGCCTAACTGCATGTTTACCTAATGCAGTGTCAGCACTTTCTTTTTTCCTTTAGTTGTTCAGTGATATACATTTGCCTTCCTCATTTTGCTTTGTTTAGTCCTATTTTAAAATGTTCATTCCTTCAGCAGTGATAGGATGTTTTGGGGAGGCCAATCTGTGACACTTTACCACAGACAACCATTTAAGGCTTAAGGAATACTCACACTGCCCTTAGGATGAAGGAACCCTGGGATTCATTCTCCGTGTTTTCACAGGCACAGCATCAAATGCCCTGAGGCAGCCATACATTTGGTTGACCATCATGCTGACTGTTGCAGTGTGCCTGCTGCCGGTCGTCGCCATACGGTTCTTGTCAATGACCATCTGGCCGTCAGAAAGTGATAAGGTACAGAAAAAAAATAGTATTCTCCTCATTCTGAGTGCCCCTCACAGAAAGCAAAGCCTGTCCCCAAAGCAGCTTTCCAGCAAAATTCTAAATCCATGGCAAATTTGGTATGAATGTTTTTTAACACTACTTCTAACTCCATCTTGCAAATAAGTCCCGTGGGACTGGGATTTTTGTTTGCGTGCTTTTTATTTTAAACGTTATCAAAGGGAGAGTAGTATAATGAACCCCCATCCCCTCGATTTAACAACTATAATATTAACATTTTCCCCTGCAAAGAGTTGGGGTTTTTCTTCATTTAAAGAAAAATGCCACCTCTTTTGGCAGGATCCTCTTGAGCTACAAGTTGTTCAAATCATGTATCACTTCAGCTCGCATACAGATTAGTGGGCTTCGGTGACTGAGCACCTTAATGTCTGTCAAAAAAAGACTGGGGTTCTTTCCATCGCTCCCCTCTGCTTTCCTCATTATAGCTTCAGCTTGGAGCTGGGGGCTGGCTACTGCAGATCTAGGCATCTCCTCCTGACACATCATTATCCAGGGGAGGCCAGGCGCTTTCCTTTAGGAGCCCAGGAACTGGGCATGGGAGGGCCCCGCCCACTTCTCGCAGGCCTCTGGAGCCAGACCAGGTCACCTGGCCGGTGCTGAGCAAGGCAAGTCCCCCTGGGAGCGCTGTCCACACCCCAGGAGGGATGTGGCTATAGGCAGGAAAGGGGTACCTGACTAAACTCCGTTTTCATCAGGAAGGAGAGAGGATGTTGGGCAGGCAACCTTCAGCATCCCCTAGATCGCCCTTTTCCACTGACAAGATGCAGGAGCAACAAGGGTTTTCCCTTGAACCTGTCCCAGTCTGACTTGTCAGTGGGAAAGAAAGGAAAGTCAGAATGTCGGCTCCCGTCTTCTAGTTCGGAGACTTTGGGAATGCTCCATAACCTCTCTGGGTTGCCTCATCTATAAAAGGAGGCCGGCGATGCCGCCTCCCCCGAGACAGCTTGGACTAGGTCCCCCGTCCGTGTTAGCGCCTGGCCAGTTCTCCTCCGCCCTCACACACCTGCAAGGTCCTCATCAGCCTGGCCCCCTCTCTCTGGTTCTGCAGATTCAGAAGCACCGCAAGCGGCTGAAAGCCGAGGAGCAGTGGAAGCGGCGGCAGCGCGTGTTCCGCCGGGGCGTGTCTTCGCGGCGCTCCGCCTACGCCTTCTCGCACCAGCGCGGCTACGCCGACCTCATCTCCTCCGGGCGCAGCATCCGGAAGAAGCGCTCTCCCCTGGATGCCGTCATAGCTGAAGGCGCCGCCGAATACCGGCGGACTGTGGCCAGCTGACGCACCTGCCACAACAATCACACACGTACAAATGTCTATTTTTTTATGAAAGGCTCTCAGGACTTTTTTTTTTTTAAACAAAAAACTGAATTTGTCACGAGGATGTTAAAGACCACAACCTTCATCACAAGCTACCTGGGCTGCTGGACTACTACAACAGCAAAGACTGCCTTCCCAAAAGTCCTATTATTCAACTGCTCGTGTTCATCATGATCCAAAGGGAACGTCTTAATCCAGTCTCCATGTAGGACAACAGAATTAGGAAATGTCTTATATTTCAATTCAAATGGTACTCATTATAAAATCACATTTAGATCATCCTGTCTGGGATCTTCAACACGAATTTTCCAGACGTTGCTTTCTTCTCCATAGGCTAACTTTTTAACAAAGATTTTGTATTTATAATGACAAGGACAAAAAAAAATTCATGGATGTTCATCACCTGGAAGCAAAGTGGTCCAAAGACTTTTTCCAGAGTTGATAATGAGCTGCGTGGTTTTCTCTTCTCCTCATATTGGTTTAATAGTTCAAGGAAAATCACTTCACATTTCATAAGTACAAGCCTTCTATCTGCTCAGTTTACTACCAGGTTAAAAGTGTGCATCATGTACGTTTACTCTTAACTTCGCATATTATTTTAGCCACTTCCTTTCCTACTTTCATTTTTAAAAGATGTGTTTATTTAAAAAAAGTTCTTAAAAACTAAGGACATCAGTGATAAATTGTGATTTTTTGGTAAAGCTTTCTTTTGAAAAGCAAACACTATGCCTGCCTGTATTTTATAAGAGACCTGAACAGAGGCCTCACATTTTCACTTGTCTAATGTCTTCAGAGAAAAGGCTGTTGGCAGCCACATTTCTAAGACTAACAGCGTATCCTTCAAAAATGGAAACTATCCTCAAAGAGGCAAAAGTTATTTTTCTAGAGCCTTTTCTCATTCTGTGTTTTTCACACTCTAGTTTCCATGTTCTAGTGAAGATACAGAAGTGTTTTCAATAATTCTGTTCTTTACCATTAGGCTGTGAATGTTCACAATATCTGTCCCTTTGAATTTCCTATGAGAAAATCACATGTATATAGTTCATATTCTAGGTATGATAAAAGAATGTATGGCTCTTTATCCTATGGAAGTAAATTTTTGGAAGTTTACAACTTTATCTTGTAAATAAAAAAAAACGAAATTGTTTTCTTTTTTTTTGGTAAAGCAAAGTTTGCTTATATAATTCTCAGTTTTCTCTCCTGTTTTATAAATTGTGGGAAAGGTCGACAATGCAAATGTGTCAAAGACTTACACTGTTGGGTGCAATATTAACAATTTTAAAATGCAAATTGCTTTGGATAAATTATTTCTGTATTCTGTAAATCTGAGATTTAATGTATATTTTTGTTTAAAAAAATAAATGCTTTAGTAAAATCTTTGGAAAGTATCTTTTAAGTAGGGTATATGACAGAAGAAGCTAAAGCCTGCAAGGTTTCTAAAGAAACACAGGGGTCCTCTTGTGGTGAGAAATAAAAGTTGGGGGCAGGGTACTAAGTATTAGGGGAGAAGTGAGAAAAGGCCATTAGACTTTAAAAGTCTGGAGGGTATGGATTTATAGTTGGCAAGGGCAAGTGTGTCCAGGGAGGGTGCATCTTTGGATATTTAGATAAGGCACAATTTTTAAAAATGACCTCAATCCTGAAGGTATAATAAAAGCAAAGGTAACCTTTGACCAAAAGCAGGAGCTGGGAAGTGAGTAAATGATCAAAGGGAAATTAGGATGTTGAAGGGCAGGCAAGCAGATGAGGAGAAGGGGGACCTGAGGCTTGAGGCTGGGGGAGGACTGAGTATGATGAACCAGCTGCAGGACAGGCAGGCAGCTCCTGGACAGTACGTGAAGCTCTGACCCCCCACTAAGGAAATGGGACTATGCCACAGACTTTTTTTAGAGAGAGCATGGGTATAAGTTGCAGATTCAGCGCAGAGCCCGATGGAGGGCTCTATCACAGGACCCTGACATCATGACTTGAGCTGAAATCAAGAGTCGGATGCCTAACTGACGGAACCACCCAGGTGCCCCAGAACTATGCCACAGAGATGGAGGTTCTCTGAAGGACATCGGTGGGGGACTTGTGTAGGAGGCATAATTGCCAGCAGATGAGAGAGTATCAGCCTGGTGGTGCTTTCTAAGGTGGGAAATTAGGACTCCCCTCTTCGCTATTCCACAGTTACAGTTGGCTTGTGGAGCAGAACTTCACGTCTATGTCAGAGCAATCCTTGGGAAATTGGGTGAAAGGACACGGGATAGATTAGACTCTTCAAGAGAAATTGTAGGAGAAAAAGTTCTGAGCAGACCTGGGATATAGTCCCTTAAAAGGGGGGGGGAACACTTTTCCCCCCAGGATGTCCTACTGTATTTAAATTGGTTGAGGAATGTATGTTTTTAATCAAAGAGCACCACCTAAAGGTTACTTTAGCAGTTGTTGCCTTCATGTGATGTGAATGAAACTTGGGAAAATTATAAGACAGCTTCTAAGAGTCCCGTCAGAATCTGCTAGAAAGTTATGGCTACAATAAAACTTCTGGTGCATTTATAATTACAAAAAGGCCTGTCAGAAAACACTGTAAAAATGATTTTCTTGACTTAAACTGACATTTCTTGGAAGATCTATAAGTGCCAAAAAGTATATACAAACGTCCTCGCTGTGTCACTCTCTGTCAAATAAATACATTTAAAAAAAAAAAAATCCTTAACAACATTAGTCATCAGGGAAATGCAAATCAAAACCACAATGAGATACCACTTCACACCCACTAGGATGACTATAAATAAAAAAGGAAGGGCACCTGGCTGGCTCAGTCAGTAGAGCGTAGGACTCTTGATCTTGGGATTTTGAGTTCAAGCCCCATATTGGGCCTAGAGCCTACTTAGAAAAAGGGGGTGGGTGGGGAAATAAGTGTTAGCAAGGACCCTGTGGAGAAACTGGAACCCTCATCCACTGCTGGTGGGAATGTAAAATGCTGCACCCACTGCTGGAACAGTTTGGCAGTTCCTCTAGAAGTTAAACAATTACCATATAAACAGCAATTCTCTGAAGTGAATACATATATACACTGCAAAACCTTGAAAACAGGTACTCAAATACTTGTACATGAATGTTCACAACAGCCAAAAGGCAGAAACAACCTAAATGTCCATCCACAGCTGAGTGGATACACAAAATGTGGGATATCCATATAATGGAATATAATTTAGCCATAAAAAGGAATAAGGCCAGTTCAAGATGGAGACATAAGCAGATCCTGAACTCACCTTCTCCCATGGACACACCAGATCCACAGCTCCATATGGAACGATTTCCTCTGAAAACAAAAACAAAAGCTGAGGGATTCGTAACATGGGGCAAACCACCCACACTGAGGTGGGCAGGCAAGGCAGAGATGCAATCTTGCTGAAAACACCACCGTCAGCATTCAAAATCCAGAGCTCCTCCATGAGTGAAGGGTTTGAACCCCATATTGGGAAGCCCAACTTTTAAGACCTACCCCTGAGAAATAAGCCCTTAAAACTTAGAGCTTTGAAAGCCAGCAGGGTTTGCATCCATGAGGCCCGAAAGGCTAGTGTGCAAACTGAGAAATGGCTCAGAACGGGCTCAGGGCCCCTAGTGGGGCCCCTGGCCTCCCCTGCATGCCAGAGCCCAGTGCAGAAGCAGCCAGACTTGGCATCAAACAGGCTTACTGCTCTTAAAGCATCGGCCTGAGAGGCAGGCATCTTATTTAACACACATCTGGGGGCCTGCTGGGGTACTCTCCAAGGATGGGGGCCAGTAGGGACTTTTTAATCTAGGTACCATCTTCACGCCATCCCCTGCTGCACTCCAGAGCAGCAGTATCTCCCAGAGGGGAGCGTTTACATGCATCTGGCACTGTTTTTACACCTGATGCCCCAGTTTTTGCAAGTGCCCACCCAGCGGATGCCCCTTGATCGCCTGGCTCTAGAGGCCGGCAGGGCCTACATTCCAGGGACCCAAAGGACTCCAACAACTGGAGAGACAAGTTCTCGGCCGGCTACCAGGGTACTGCATAGCTGGCAGACTGAAATACACGCCCAGTCTGTCTGTGATAAAGGACTATGTGCTTGTCCTGCAGCGTCGGCCTGAGGGCAGGCCTTTGGCTTGGCACCCATCTAGAAGGACTCTCAGGGCAGGGAGGCTGGTGGACGTCATGTTTACCCTCTTTCTCTGCCTCCCTCCAGCATGTCTGTGTCTCCCAGAAAGGAGTTTATACCCTCATTTGGTGCCCCGATTTTTGCAGGTACTATGAGGTGACACCTCTAGATTGCCAAGCATGGGTCACACAGGACTGTAACCAATAGAGAAGGCGGTTTTAACTGTCTACCATTTCCAGAGCACAGCAAGAGGCAACAGTCTGAGGAGCCGAGTTTTCCTGTGAAAGAGGCCTATGAGTTAATTTCCACAGCTACGTCTGAGGGATAGACTTCTGACCCAACACACATCTGAGGGCCGTCTGTAAACCGTTCCAGAGACCTCAGAGGACTAGCTTTGTGTTCTTCTTCTGCCGCGCTCCAAAGTGCCAGCATCCCCAGGGGGCAGTTTGTACACAGGTCTGGTACCAGTTTTTATGCCTGGTACCCGATTGCTGTGACCACCACCTAGCGGATGGCCCTGCACTGCCTAGCTCTGGTGGCCAGCAGGATCTGCATTCCTGTAGCCCACAGGACTGTAACACGTGGGGAGGCTGACTTTGGCCTGCTACAAACTCCAGGACACAATACACACACGAGCAAACACCCCTCTCTTTGCCCCCCACTCCCCAGGCTTTCTGTGATAAGGGACTATTTGCTTGTCCTGGAGCTCTGGCCTGAGGGGCAGGCTTTTGGTTTGACATACATCTAGGGACCCTCTAAGATGCTGTACTGGGACGGAAGTCAGGAGATGCCACCCTGTACACTGTTATCTGCCTTGCTTCAGATTGCTCTTATCTCCCAGAAAGGAGCTCAAATAGTTGTCTGGCACCCCAATTTTTGTGACCAACAGGAGACACTTCCAAGGTGCCCAGCACAGGCAGCC